TATGAAGTTCATATTAAATTACAAGCACTCACTGTATACTCCTCCTAAACTATTATTCGGATTTTGATAAATCTTTCTGAAGTTTGTTAAGGAAATTTTCTAGGATGTATGTGATTATAAAGTACTGGGATGTATGTGTAATATTGTAGAAATAAACGGAAAAAATTGCAAAAAACGACATGACATTGTTTGCATTGAAAACAAATGAAAACTATCATCTGCCAAAAATTTCAATTTACTTATGAACCTAGACAATAATATTAGAATATGTATAATAAATTTATGATTATGAATAAGAAAAATGAAATGTCTACATTATTATTGCCAAAAATCAGCTGAGATGTGCCAGAAACTATAATAATATAATATACAGTATATGTATGGCAGATTGAATGATACACATATGAAAAAATTAATATCACTTAGAATATATGAATGCGATGCATGCGAAAAATATCGAGCGCACGCCTTAGGGGGCGCCAACACAAAATTCGGATATTAAATTTTCAATATAGTTTTTTTTAATATATAATTTCTTTACATCTTTTACTAATATTTCCACAATAGTTTTAAAATTCGTAAAAATTTCACTTTCACAACAAATGGGAAAGTAAAGGTGAATATATACAATTCGGCCCTCACGATATCGATTAGGAGAAGTTTAAGATGCAATTTTCGATATCTTAAATAATAAAAAATTAAATTAATTTAATCCAACATGAAGTACAAGTGTTATGTTATGGTTATGGTTATGTTATATCATTTAAAACACTTCAATTTCCAATATGGTGTGGGAATTGAGACTCATCATTTTATTTAAAGCAGTTCTTCATTTAAAATCGCTCATATTATAAATGTATATGCGCATTTTGGCGTGAAGAGTAATTTAAAAAACAATAATTATTATTTTTAGGTAAACGGTAAATATTAGTATATTATATTAAAAAATTGTAGACATGGGTACAGGACAACGTCTGTCGGGCCATCTAGTATAATAATAAATGACTATGAGTATAAAAGTATGAAAAAGTATATGAAAGTAAAGGAAAATTAGAAGGCTTTTTTTTAGAAGACTTTACCGATTTTGCCGCATAACAGACCAATGTTATGGCAAGGCCATGTTGCGGTCCAACTTGCATACAATATGCTACTGAATCATACTGAATACACTAAAAATGTCATGTATTTGCTGTGCATTCAGAAGTTTCACACATGAACTGCAACGTCACTCGTATGTTATGAAGCTGAGTCAGAAAGACCCTGTTATCTAAGATCTTTTTTATCGACATTGGTGTGGTTTCTAGGTTGGGTTGTCTATCTGACAACCTGAGAACAACGCCTGATTGCACAGTAACCACATGGCTTTTGTCAATATTTAGTATGGAAATTTCTTCTTATCATAGCCTTGCCATAACATTGGTTTGTTATGCGACAGAATTAGTCCCTTAATCTTATATTAATATTGATGGATTTGGATAATGAGACCCTACTGATGAGTAGAACTGAAGAAATGTGATTTAAGTTAAGTGGTAAAAGTTTGATGGATTTATTAAAGGGACTCTACTGACGCGCAAACTGAAGTTTATATTAATAGTATACAAAAGAACTCTACTGACGAGCAAATTCAATTTCATATTAATTCTTCGTTTGATGGATTTAGTAAAGGGACTCTACTGACGAGCGAACTTAATCTCATCAAATTAGTTAATTTTTAATTTAGAAAGGTTTGATGTATTTGTCAGAGAAACTCTACTGACAAGCAAATCTGAGGAAATTTGACTCAACTGATTCTTTTACAATTACATCGTCGAGAAATCTTGAATTTCTGATGGATTTAAAAAAATAAGATTCTACTCAGATTTTTGCAGAAAAAAACCCTACTGATGAGGAAAAAAATTGTGCAATGCTAATTTAAAATTCATTATTTAGAGCCATAACTTATACCTATTTGCCATTTTTTTTTTGCAATATTGGTTGTTTTAAACTATACTATCGATTTAATAAGAAGATATTAATGGACAGAATTGTTAGAAAGTCAATATACTCATTATCTAGACTATTGGTCTATTTTTTATAATTACCTGATTGACGGAAGAAGCACTTCATGAAGCATTTGACATTTTCGCTGACCTGAAACGAAAATAAAAAAAATGAATTAAAATTGTAAATGAAGTGATAAATATTACTTTTTTTATACTTTTATAGTTTGTCTCTCAACATTCTTCATAAATTCCTACACTTAAATATTTTTTATAATTTTTACATTTCAGTCAGTATATATTTTTTTACTTTCATCTACTTTTTTACATTCGCCATAGTCTATTACTTTATACTTTTACGTTTTCCTTTACTTTCATATATTCCCTAATACCAATTTTTGTTAAATTTATTTACTTCCTATACTTCTTATATTTTTTATATTTATTATATTTTTCTTTACTTTAATATACTTTTTCATTGCAAGCTTTCCACTCCCTTTGTTTTTTTACTTAGATAATTTTTATTAATTTTATAAACTGCTTATACTTTTTTATATTCTTATGGTTTTCTTTTTTTTTAACTTTTATATTATATTTCTGATACTAAGCCTAAGCCAACTTCTCTTGAATGTTATATTTATGTATTTTTTATTACATTTATTTGCTTCTCAATAATTTTTTAAACTTTTCTTTACTTTTATATACTGTCATATACTTTTTCATACTCTGTAGAGAATATAATTTTTTTATAAATTTATTTCAATTTAATTATACTTTTTATATTTTTCTTTCTAATATAATATATCAAGCCCCAAAACCTCTAAGTATTTTATATTTGTATAATTTATATCAATCTTTTTCAATTGTTTATGGTTTTTTCTACTTTTTATGAGTTTCTATACATTTTTCTAGAATTTGTAAATATTTTTACTTTTATATAATTTTTGAGTTTTTTTCCATTCTCACTTCCAATAATTTTTTATATTTTTTATTTTATTTACTTGATGATTTCCTCTACTTTTTATGGTTTCTTAAACTTTTTTAAACTTTTTTAAACTTTTGTAAATTTTTATGCTTTACCAGGCCCATACACTTTTAGTTTTGTATATTTATGTACTTTATAATATGTTTTAATATTTTTTGATTATTCTCTGATTATTTTTCAATTTTGTACATCTTTCCTTAGTATCACATAAGCTTTCATACTTTATCCTAATTGTTTTTTTAGTACATTTGTATACTTTATATTAATATTTATACCCCTCGCTTTTTTTAAATTTTACCTACTTTTCCCGACTTTTTTGTACATAGTTTTCTCTTATAATATTGCTCATGTATTTAAAATCTTCATATTTAGTTTTTTAGTTTTTTTTTAGAATTGCTCAAAGTATGCTTTATAATTAGGCAATATATCCATACGTTTCGAGATATGATCTGTGCCATCATTATTGATTTTGTGAAAATACTTTTATAATATCATCAATATAGATTTATCATTAATACTCATAAATAGTAGTATAAATTAATATTGATTACTTACATTTTCGGTGGATTCTCCAACCTTGAACTTCTTGAGTTCCTCAGGAGTTGCTCCTGACTCTTGGAGACAGGTCTGGGTGTGTTGTCTAACACGTTCCTTTTGTTCGTCAGTTACAGCCTAATAATAAAAATAATTGTATTAATAAAATTAATTATTAGGTGTAAGTGACATTTCGCCTTAGGGCAAGTAATCGTAATCCATGCGATTTTCAATTGATATCTTTCAAACATAGGCAGAGCAAACACGATGTATGCAAATTGATATTATTCCAAACATTGACATTTTGTTAGACTGCAATATTTAACAAAATTTCTTTGGACTAAAAAATTATTATTATTATATTCTCTACACTTAGTTTTATTATTTACGAAAATGGCTATATGTTTGATATTTCAAAATCGGTTCAGGATTATTTTTAACTAAATAAACAAAACTTGAGGCCTTGATTATTGGTTAAATAAAATATTGGTTAAATAAATCAATTGCTAAATTGCTTAAAATTTGAAAAAAATAAGAATTTTTAATATATTGTTAAGAAATATTTTTAAATACATAATAAAAATGTTTTTCATAAAAAATGGTTATATTGTAAATATTTAAATTTTTAACTTCCCGTAGGGTAAGTTATTGTAATGGGCCGAAAATCGGAATTGAAAATTTTTACATTTCTTGACGTTTTGAAGGTTTCTGAACATTTTGGCATACTTCAGAAAAAATGGATGTGTGTGTGTGTGTGTGTATGCATGTATGGATACAAATTTTCGCCCACGTTTTAGGGCGCACGGATCAACCGATTTGAATGGTTCAAAAAACATTGCATTCCTATTGATAGGGAGAAGAGCTGATTAGTTTTTGGCAAAGGCAGGTCCAGCAGTTACGGAGATAAGGAGCAAAGAGTGCAGAAAATGAAAATCGAGTTTTTGAGAGAACGGAGCATCCGATTTGAATGATCTAAAAAACATTCAATTAGTAATAATTGGGAGAAGGGGTTATAAGTTTTTCGCAAAGGTAGGCCCAGCCATTTCGGGGATACAGAGCTAAATGTACAAAAAATGGCAGTTTTTGAGAGAACTAAGCGTCCGATTCAATTGATTCAAAGAACTTTCTGCTTGTCTTAACAAAATAATTAATTTTGGAAAAAAAAAATTTGTTCCATTTTTTTTTTTTTTTTTTTTTTTTTGTATATCGAAAATAATTCAGATTTTATTTTTAATTCTGACTATAGTTCTAATATACTTTAAACAAACAATTTCAACTCTGCAATTCAGTTCATATAATTCTTATAAATATTAGACAATGTTACAATATTTATAATAATCTATTTGAAAACATTCAATATTCCTCGAACATTTCGTTACGGTACGGGAAGTTCAAGCAATTTGCCTTAAAGGCACGATGCCACCCACCCCACTAGTTGAAATTTATTTAAATTATGTTCATCAAAATAAATACAGATAAATATTTATAAATAATCTACTTACAGAGACTGCAACGAACAAAGCCAAAGCGACAACTAAGAATTTCATTTTGTTGATTTCTTTTTAAAAAATTAAATTTCCAAAAACTCGAAAAGTTCACTTGTCGAAATGCAAAGCACAACTGTCGAAAATTAATCGAAAACGCCGCAATTTATATCTCTTGAAAATGATAAGAGAGTGTAAGATTACACTAAAATATTTGTATGAGATTGTGTGTGTGCCTGTGTATGTTCGTCTTCTTATATGTCAGTGTTCTTGTGTGTGGCTATGTGTGTTTATGTGTGTATGTTTTTGTCATTGTGTGTGTTTGTGTATGGGTATGGATTTTTGTGTCTGTGTATGATATGACATAATGGTAAATTTTTCAATATAGTGTTATCTTTAAATTCGATATCTTCGAATTATTATTTCGACTTAGTCAAAACAACTTGCATTGTATCTTTCATTAATTTGACACCACAAAAGTTTCCACTGCTTTGTTTTTCTTCCTTTATGCGATTTTGTTTGCAACAATTTATGGAATTTTATATTCTGTTATTATTTGTCGAGTTGAAAGTCTCGAATGTCGATAAATTTCCATGTAGGAAATTAAAGCATGAAAATACTATTTGGAGCCTGAAAATATTAACTGGAGCCTGAAAATATTAAGTAGAGTCTAAAAATACTAATTGGAGTCTGAAAATACTAAATGGAGTCTGAAAATACTATATGGAGTTTGAAAATACTATATGGAGTCTGAAAATAGTATATGGAGTCTGAAAATACTAAATGGAGTCTGAAAATACTAAATGGAGTCTGAAAATACTTAACGGAGTCTGAAAATACTAAATGGAGTCTGAAAACACTAATTGGAGCCTAAAAATACTAATTAGAGCTTGAAAATATTAACTAGAGCCTAAAAATACTAATCAGAGCTTGAAAATATTAATTGAAGTCTGAAAATACTAATTGTAGCTTGAAAATATATTATATTATGTTGCGTTTTTTTCATATAAAATTATCAAAATTTTGAAATCTAAGTTCTCGCATGAGTTATCATGGCACATCACAATTCTTTTTTTTGTCGATAATTTTCAATATAAAAACTCGTAATTTTAAAATGTCAGATAATGAAAATCAACAAAATCATTTTGGTTTAAATATTAAAGTGTTACACATTTTATTCCTAATAATTTTATATTTATTAATTCATTATTGATTATTTATTAATACTTGCCAATAGGCAAAATGTCGTTGACACCGAGTTAAAAAATGACCCCATGCACTTGGCAGATAATTAGCACTGAACCCATTAATCCTGATAATAATTATCAAAACATTTATATGGAATTTATCTATATAAATATATATATATATATATATAATCTTATGTCTGTTAAAAACCATATCGATAATATTTGTTGCAAAACTTATGATTAATCTGTCAATATTTTAAACAAAAATGAAATTTATAAACATCGGCCAATACTTTACGTAAATTTAATTTGAATAAGTTTATGTGTTATTCAAACGAATTCTTTTGAAATGTTATTACAAACAATTCACAATATATTATTACATTTAAACTGAAAGCATTCACACAGTTATAACCTATGGAGTTCCTCAAGGTTCACGTTCAGGGCATTTGATTATATAATTAATTCACATTGAAGTGATTTTTCTAACTCTTGAGAAATTAATGTTTTATTTCAACGAGCTCTTTAGACAATATTATAATACTCGATATACAAAATTTTATTACAAACAATATTTTATTCTTCAATTCCATAAGATTGGGTTATCATTGTTCAACTGTTTTTTAAGAGAAACTTAAATTTTATTGAAAATGGGATCGTGTACGTTATTTGAATTTATTTTTATAATATCAATGAGGCACATTCAGGGTACTTTGGACTGTAATTGCAAAATTATATTATGGAGCAGTTTTAACCTGAAATGCTTACATAATATAGTCTTAAGGTGTTCCTCAAGGTTCATATATAGGGTCTTCTTTTTTATGTAATACATATGAATTGAAATAATTTTTTATACTCGAATTTTATCGAAATTTAGATTACTTGTACATATAATTTTGCTATTTAATTTGAATTAATCTATCAGTAATCATAACAAAATTTCGGCTGAATCTTTATACGAGTACATATATGAATTTAATTTTCATAAATTGATTTATTTAATTAGATTATTCAAGTTTAGTTTTTTTTTTAAATTGTTAAAAGTTTGTTTAAAAAAGTTTTTTCAAATTCTCCAAGGTTTACATCTAATGTCAAAAATATTTAATAATTTTATATTTAAATAAATTTAAAAAAATATTATTATAGTGAGCTTTATCTTACCAGTTTATTTTTATTTCTTATTTTAATATGATTAGCGTTGTTTATATAGAAAAATCATTAAAAATGATTATTAGGTAAATGGAATATTTTATATATAATTGTATGTATATATATATATATATATATATATATATATATATCTTTGATCTACAGTATTTTTTACATAATTGGATTCGTATTATCTGCACGATATTATTTGATACAGTAATATACATTTATATCTATACATACACACCCACACACACATATATATATATATATTTATATATATATATATATATATCTATATATATATATAATTATCACTTAACTTAGTTTTTAATTGTTTTAGTATTGATCAAAACTTTATCTATAATTAATTAATTTACGACCCAAAAAAATCAAAATGAAATAAAATCTCAATTGCAAATCACAATCCAAAACTAATTTCTTTATTTTTTACTACTCTATTTTTTTATTTGGTAATTTTATTTACTACTAATAAATAATTATATGAAATAATACAATTTAAAAAAAAATTAATGTCATGGATTCATATTTTCACATCAGTAATAGTAAATTGAAGTTTGAAGTTTGTAATTAATAAACATATTACAAAATTTTAAGTCACACTTACTTTCATATAATTTTATTCAATTAAAAGTATATGTAGTACAAATTAACAAATTAAAGAGCATGTTACAATTTGTATTGATTGTATATTTAAAAAATATGAGTACATTATATATATATATATATATATATATATATATATAATAAAGGCCATAAGGGAAATTTGTCACGTACTTTTGTGTATTCACACATCATTATAAGAGCTTTAGACTCTGTTTAAATATAACTGTATATATATATATATATATATATATATATATATATATGTATGTATATATATCTGTTATATAACTGTGCATTAGTATGTACAATATATAGTACAGTTTATTGGTTTGGGGTAGACGTGACCTGTATACTTTCGTATGTCACGTATCCCAATTAAATCACAGATTACGTTTATATATATATATATATATATATATATATATATAATGGGCTGCATCCCTTATATTTCTCTTCTCTGGCAATACTTTCCATCTGTGCCGCATTAAAAGCCAAAAATATTAAGTTTGTATCCTGGAGTTGTAATTTAAGAACTTGAATTTGTAAAATGGGATTCTTGGGCTGAAAATAAAGCATGAAACTAAAAAAAGGCAAAAAATAAAATATATAGTATATATATATATAAATTTATTTACAGCTTATAATTGCAAAATGTCTGGCCTAAAACATAAATTAAACCTTAAATAAATAAACTTGAGCCCGAAAATACTAATTATAGTCATTGGATCTCCAAAAATGAGAATTGGTGCATGAAAATAATTTTTAGAGACTAAAAGTGTAATTTGAAGCCTGTATATACGCATTAGAGCCTGAAAATATACTTTAGAATCGCAATAGTAGCCTGGAAATACTAATTTTAGTCTGAAAATAAACATTGTAGTCTAAAAACAAACACTGAAAATACTAATTGGAGCCTCAAACTACTAATTGGAGCCTCAAACTACTAATTGGATCTTGAAACTGCTAATTGGAGCCTCAAACTACTAATTGGAGCTTGAAACTACTAATTGGAGCCTGAAATTACACATTGTTGTCTGAAAAATACTTATTATTGGAGTCTGAAAATACTAATTTTAGTTTGAAAATACACATTGGTGCCTAAAAACACTAACCGAGGTCTGAAAATACTGATTGGATTCTGAAAATACTAATTGGAGACTGAGAATACTAATTGGAGACTGAGAATACTAATTGGAGACTGAGAATACTAAATGGAGTTTGAAAATACTGAATAGAGTCTGAAAATACTAATAGGAGCCTGAAAATACTAATTGGAGCCTGAAAATTTTAACTGGTGGCTGAAAATTTTAACTGGTGCCTGAAAATTTTAACTGGTGCCTGAAAATTTTAACTGGTGTCTGAAAATATATTAATTGGAGTCTGAAAATACTAACTGGTGGCTGAAAATTTTAACTGGTGGCTGAAAATTTTAACTGGTGTCTGAAAATACTAATTGGAGTCTAAAAATACTAATTGGAGACTGAAAATACACATTGGAGCCTGAAAATACTAACTGGAATTGGAGCCTAAAAATATTGAATGGGTCTAAAAATACTAAATGGAGTCTGAAACTACTAATTGGAGCCTGAAACTACTAATTAGAGCCTGAAAATACTAATTGGAGCCTGAAAATTGCAAAACTTATGATTAATCTGTCAATATTTTAAACAAAAATGAAATTTATAAACATCGGCCAATACTTTACGTAAATTTAATTTGAATAAGTTTATGTGTTATTCAAACGAATTCTTTTGAAATGTTATTACAAACAATTCACAATATATTATTACATTTAAACTGAAAGCATTCACACAGTTATAACCTATGGAGTTCCTCAAGGTTCACGTTCAGGGCATTTGATTATATAATTAATTCACATTGAAGTGATTTTTCTAACTCTTGAGAAATTAATGTTTTATTTCAACGAGCTCTTTAGACAATATTATAATACTCGATATACAAAATTTTATTACAAACAATATTTTATTCTTCAATTCCATAAGATTGGGTTATCATTGTTCAACTGTTTTTTAAGAGAAACTTAAATTTTATTGAAAATGGGATCGTGTACGTTATTTGAATTTATTTTATAATATCAATGAGGCACATTCAGGGTACTTTGGACTGTAATTGCAAAATTATATTATGGAGCAGTTTTAACCTGAA